TATTATACAGAGCGACATGTTTATTATCAGCGTATACTCAGTATTATTATACAGAGCGACATGTTTATTATCAGCGTATAGATTCTCAGTATTATTATACAGAGCGACATGTTTATCAGCGTATAGATACTCAGTATTATTATTATACAGAGCGACATGTTTATTATCAGTGTATAGATACTCAGTATTATTATACAGAGCAAAATGTTTATTAGCGTATAGATCCTTATTATTATTATTATTATACAGAGCGACATGTTTATTATCAGCGTATAGCTACTCAGTATCATTATACAGAGCGACATGTTTATTATCAGCGTATAGATACTCAGTATTATTATACAGAGCGCCATGTTTATTATCAGCGCATAGATACTCAGTATTATACAGAGCAGCATGTTTATTATCAGCGTATAGATCCTTATTATTATTATACAGAGCGCCATGTTTATTATCAGCGTATAGATACTCAGTATTATCATACAGAGCGACATGTTTATTCCTAGTGTATAGATACTCAGTGTTATTATACAGAGCGACATGTTTATTTTCAGCGTATAGATCCTTAATAATAATAATAATAATAATAATATTATACAGAGCGACATGTTTATTATCCGCATATAGATACTCGGTATCATTATACAGAGCGACATATTTTTCAGTGTATAGATACTCAGTATTAATTTACAGAGTGACGTATTTATCATCAGCGTATAGATACTCAGTATTATCATACAGAGCGACATGTTTATTCCTAGTGTATAGGTACTCAGTGTTATTATACAGAGTGACATATTTATCATCAGCGTATAGATACTCAGTATTATCATACAGAGCGACATGTTTATTCCTAGTGTATAGATACTCAGTATTATTATACAGAGCGACATGTTTATTATCAGTGTATAGCTACTCCGTATTATTATACAGAGCGACATGTTTATTATCAGTGTATAGATACTCCGTATTATACAGCGCAACATGTTTATTATTAGTGTATAGATACTCATTATTATACAGAGCGGCGTGTTTATTATCAGCGCATAGATCCTTATTATTATTATACAGAGCGAAATATTTATCAGCGTATAGATACTCAGTATCATTATACAGAGCGACATATTTATTAGCGTATAGATACTCAGTATTATGATACAGAGCGACATATTTATTAGCGTATAGATACTCAGTATTATTATACAGAGCGACATGTTTATTATCAGCGTATAGATACTCAGTATTATGATACAGAGCGACATGTTTATTATCAGCGTATAGATACTCAGTATTATGATACAGAGCGACATGTTTATTCCTAGTGTATAGATACTCAGTATTATTATACAGAGTGACATATTTATCATCAGCGTATAGATACTCAATTTTATGATACAGAACGACGTGTTTATTATCAGTGTATAGCTACTCCGTTTTATTATACAGAGCGACATGTTTATTATCAGTGTATAGATACTCAGTATTATACAGAGCGACATGTTTATTATCAGCATATAGATACTCATTATTATTATTATACAGAGCGACATATTTATCAGCGTATAGATACTCAGAATCATTATACAGAGCGACATAGTGATCAGCGTATAGATACTCAGTATTATTATACAGAGCGACATGTTTATCAGCGTATAGGTACTCAGTATTATGATACAGAGCAACATGTTTATTATCAGCGTATAGATACTCAGTATTATTATACAGAGCGACATGTTTATCAGCGTATAGATACTCAGTATTATTATTATTATACAGAGCGACATTTTTATTATCAGTGTATAGATACTCAGGATTATTATACAGAGAGACATGTTTATTATCAGCGTATAGATACTCCGTATTATACAGAGCAGCATGTTTATTATCAGTGTATAGATACTCCGTATTATTATACAGCAACATGTTTATTATCAGTGTATAGATAATCAGTATTATTATACAGAGCGACATGTTTATTATCAGCGTATAGATTATTATTATTATTATTATTATTATTATTATTATTATTATTATTATACAGAGCGACATGTTTATTATCAGCGTATAGATACTCATTATTATTATTATACAGAGCGACATATTTATCAGCGTATAGATACTCTGTATTATTATACAGAGCGACATGTTTATTATCAGTGTATAAATATTCAGTATTATTATACAGAGCAACATATTTATTATCAGCGTATAGATACTCAGTATTATACACAGCGACATGTTTATGATCAGTGTATAGATACTCAGTATTATACAGCGCAACATGTTTATGATCAGTGTATAGATACTCAGTATTATACAGAGCGACATGTTTATTATCAGCGTATAGATTCTCAGTATTATTATACAGAGCGACATGTTTATTATCAGTGTATAGATACTCAGTATTATGATACAGAGCGACATGTTTATTATCAGCGTATAGATTCTCAGTATTATTATACAGAGCGACATGTTTATTATCAGCATATTGATACTCATTATTATTCTACAGAGCGACATATTTATCAGCGTATAGATACTCAGTATTATACAGAGCGACATATTTTTCAGTGTATAGATACTCAGTATTATGATACAGAGCGACATGTTTATTATCAGTGTATAGATACTCAGCATTATTATACAGAGCGACATATTTATCAGCGTATAGATCCTTATTATTATTATACAGAGCGCCATGTTTATTATCAGCGCATAGATACTCAGTATTATTATACAGAGCGACATATTTATCAGCGTATAGATACTCAGTATTATGATACAGAGTGACATGTTTATCAGCGTATAGATCCTTATTATTATTATTATTTTTATTATATAGAGCGACATGTTTATTATCAGCGTATAGATACTCATTATTATTATTATTATACTGAGCGACATATTTATCAGCGTATAGATACTCAGAATCATTATACAGAGCGACATAGTGATCAGCGTATAGATACTCAGTATTATACAGAGCAACATATTTTTCAGTGTATAGATACTCAGTATTATGATACAGAGCGACATGTTTATTATCAGCGTATAGATCCTTATTATTATTATACAGAGCGACATGTTTATTATCAGCGTATAGCTACTCAGTATTATTATACAGAGCGACATGTTTATTATCAGCGTATAGATACTCAGTATTATTATTATTATACAGAGTGACATTTTTATTATCAGTGTATAGATACTCAGGATTATTATACAGAGAGACATGTTTATTATCAGCGTATAGATACTCCGTATTATTATACAGAGCAGCATGTTTATTATCAGTGTATAGATACTCCGTATTATTATACAGAGACATGTTTATTATCAGCGTATAGATACTCAGTATTATTATACAGATCAACATGTTTATTATCAGCGTATAGATCATTATTATTATTATTATTATTATTATTATTATTATTATACAGAGCGACATGTTTATTATCAGCGTATAGATACTCAGTATTATTATACAGAGCGCCATGTTTATTATCAGCGCATATATACTCAGTATTATTATACAGAGACAGGTTTATTATCAGCGTATAGCTACTCAGTATCATTATACAGAGCGCCATGTTTATTATCAGCACATAGATACTCAGTATTATTATACAAAGCAGCATGTTTATTATCAGTGTATAGATACTCATTATTATAAAGAGCGACATGTTTATTATCAGCATATAGATACTCGATCATTATACAGAGCGACATATTTTTCAGTGTATAGATACTCAGTATTATGATACAGAGCGACATGTTTATTCCTTGTGTAGAGATACTCAGTATTATTATACAGAGCGACATGTTTATTATTAGTGTATAGATACTCAGTATTATACAGAGCGACATGTTTATTATCAGCGTATAGATCCTTATTATTATACAGAGCAACATATTTTTCAGTGTATAGATACTCAGTATTCTGATACAGAGTGACATGTTTATTATCAGTGTATAGCTACTCCGTATTATTATACAGAGCGACATGTTTATTACCAGTGTATAAATACTCAGTATTATTATTATACAGAGCGACATGTTTATTATCAGCGTATAGATCCTTATTATTATTATTATTATTATATAGAGCGCCATATTTATTATCAGCGTATAGATAGTATTATTATACAGAGCGACATGTTTATTATCAGCTTATAGATACTCACGATTATTATACAGAGCAACATGTTTATTATCAGTGTATAGCTACTCCGTATTATTATACAGAGCGACATGTTTATTATCAGTGTATAGATACTCAGTTTTATACAGAGCGACATGTTTATTATCAGCGTATAGATCCTTATTATTATTATTATTATTATTATTATACAGAGCGACACATTTATCAGCGTATAGATACTCAGTATCATTATACAGAGCAACACATTTATCAGCGTATAGATACTCCACATTATTATACAGAGCGACATATTTTTCAGTGTATAAATACTCAGTATTATTATACAGAGCGACATATTTATTATCAGCGTATAGATACTCATTATTATCATACAGAGCGACATGTTTATTCCTAGTGTATAGATACTCAATATTATTATTCAGAGTGACATGTTTATTATCAGTGTATAGCTACTCCATATTATTATACAGAGCGACATGTTTATTATTAGTGTATAGATACTCATTATTATATAGAGCGACATGTTTATTATCAGCGTATAGATTCTCAGTATTATTACACAGAGCAACATATTTATCAGCGTATAGATACTCAGTATTATGATACAGCGCAACATGTTTATTATCAGCGTATAGATACTCAGTATTATTATGCAGAGCAGCATGTTTATTATCAGCGTATAGATACTCAGTATTATTACACAGAGCAACATATTTATCAGCGTATAGATACTCAGTATTATGATACAGCGCAACATGTTTATTATCAGCGTATAGATACTCAGTATTATTATGCAGAGCGACATGTTTATTATCAGCGTATAGATCCTTAATAATAATAAGGATCTATACGCTGATAATAAACATGTCGCTCTGTATAATAATGATAATATTATTATTATACAGAGCGACATGTTTATTATCAGCGTATAGATACTCAGTATTATTATACAGAGCGACATGTTTATTATCAGCGTATAGATTCTCAGTATTATACAGAGCGACATGTTTATTATCAGCGTATAGATACTCGGTATCATTATACAGAGCGACATATATTTTTCAGTGTATAGATACTCAGTATTATGATACAGAGCGACATGTTTATTCCTAGTGTATAGATACTCACTATTATTATACAGAGCGACATGTTTATTATCAGTGTATAGCTACTCCGTATTATTATACAGAGCGACATGTTTATTAGCGTATAGATACTCAGTATGTTACAGAGCGACATGTTTATTATCAGTGTATAAATACTCAGTATTATTATACAGAGCGACATTTGTTATCAGCGTATAGATACTCAGTATTATCATACAGAGCGACATGTTTATGATCAGTGTATTATACAGCGCAACATGTTTATTATTAGTGTATAGATACTCAGTATTATACAGAGCGACATGTTTATTATCAGCGTATAGATAGTCATTATTATTATTATACAAAGCAACATATTTATCAGCGTATAGATACTCAGTATTATTATACAGAGCGCCATGTTTATTATTAGTGTATAGATACTCATTATTATATAGAGCGACATGTTTATTATCAGTGTGTACATACTCAGTATTATTATGCAGAGCGACATGTTTATTATCAGTGTATAAATACTCAGTATTATTATACAGAGCAACATGTTTATTATCAGTATATAGATACTCAGTATTATTATACAGAGTGACATGTTTATTATCAGTGTATAAATACTCAGTATTATTATACAGGGCGACATATTTATCAGCGTATAGATACTCAGTATTCTTATACAGAGCGACATGTTTATTATCAGCGTATAGATACTCAGTATTCTTATACAGAGCTACATGTTTATTATCAGTGTATAGATACTCAGTATTATACAGCGCAACATGTTTATTATTATTGTATAGATGCTCATTATTAGATAGAGTGACCTGTTTATTATCAGCGTATAGATACTCAGTATTATTATGCAGAGCAGCATGTTTATTATCAGTGTATAGATACTCAGTATTATTATACAGAGCGACGTGTTTATTATCAGTGTATAGCTACTCCGTATTATTATACAGAGCGACATGTTTATTATCAGCGTATAGATTATTATTATTATTATTATTATTATTATTATCATTATTATTATTATTATACAGAGCGACATATTTATCAGCGTATAGATACTCAGTATCATTATTCAAAGCAACATATTTATCAGCGTATAGATACTCAGTATTATTTTACAGAGCGACATGTTTATTATCAGCGTATAGATACTCAGTATTATTATGCAGAGCGACATGTTTATTATCAGTGTATAAATACTCAGTATTATTATACAGGGCGACATATTTATCAGCGTATAGATACTCAGTATTCTTATACAGAGCGACATGTTTATTATCAGCGTATAGATACTCGGTATCATTATACAGAGCAACATATTTTTCAGTGTATAGATACTCAGTATTATCATACAGAGCGACATGTTTATTCCTAGTGTATAGATACTCAGTATTTTTATACAGAGCGACATGTTTATTATTAGTGTATAGATACTCATTATTATATAGAGCGACATGTTTATTATCAGCGTATAGATACTCAGTATTATTACACAGTGACCTGTTTATTATCAGCGTATAGATACTCAGTATTATTATTATTATACAGAGCGACATGTTTATTATCAGTGTATAGATACTCAGTATTATTATACAGAGCGACATGTTTATTATCAGCGTATAGATACTCAAATTATTATACAGAGCGACATGTTTATTATCAGCGTATAGATACTCAGTATTATTATACAGAGTGACATGTTTATCAGCGTATAGATACTCAGTATTCTTATACAGAGCTACATGTTTATTATCAGTGTATAGATACTCAGTATTATACAGCGCAACATGTTTATTATTATTGTATAGATGCTCATTATTAGATAGAGTGACCTGTTTATTATCAGCGTATAGATACTCAGTATTATTATGCAGAGCAGCATGTTTATTATCAGTGTATAGATACTCAGTATTATTATACAGAGCGACGTGTTTATTATTAGTGTATAGCTACTCCGTATTATTATACAGAGCGACATGTTTATTATCAGCGTATAGATCATTATTATTATTATTATTATTATTATTATACAGAGCGACATATTTATCAGCGTATAGATACTCAGTATCATTATACAAAGCAACATATTTATCAGCGTATAGATACTCAGTATTATTTTACAGAGCGACATGTTTATTATCAGCGTATAGATACTCAGTATTATTATGCAGAGCGACATGTTTATTATCAGTGTATAAATACTCAGTATTATTATACAGGGCGACATATTTATCAGCGTATAGATACTCAGTATTCTTATACAGAGCGACATGTTTATTATCAGCGTATAGATACTCGGTATCATTATACAGAGCAACATATTTTTCAGTGTATAGATACTCAGTATTATCATACAGAGCGACATGTTTATTCCTAGTGTATAGATACTCAGTATTTTTATACAGAGCGACATGTTTATTATTAGTGTATAGATACTCATTATTATATAGAGCGACATGTTTATTATCAGCGTATAGATACTCCGTATTATTACACAGTGACCTGTTTATTATCAGCGTATAGATACTCAGTATTATTATTATTATACAGAGCGACATGTTTATTATCAGCGTATAGATACTCAGTATTATTATACAGAGCGACATGTTTATTATCAGCGTATAGATACTCAGTATTATTATACAGAGCGACATGTTTATTATCAGTGTGTAGATACTCAGTATTATTATACACACTTGTGACTACATTATTATGTGGATTCTGTGGTGTATACCAGCAGTCCCCCCTAGGGGAAGCTTTGCACAATGCACAGTTTTTGCCTAACCAGCTCTTGTAAGTGTGCAAAGCATGCTGGGATGGATACACACTCTAGATTTGCTTTCTTCCCAGTGTGTGCATGGAGTTCGGCCATGTTGGGTGTATGTTACAGCAGGAATGTGTATATCAACAAAGGGATCAAAGATAATATGTGACTTGTGATCAATAAATCCTGGCTGATTAATAGACGGTATGTTTATTGTAAGTCAGCTATCATCAAACATAACATGTACTCAATATCATTATACAGAGCAACGTGTTTATTATCAGCGTATAGATACTCCGTATTATTATACAGAGCGACATGTTTATTATCAGCGTATAGATACTCAGTATTATGATACAGAGCGACATGTTTATTCCTAGTGTATAGATACTCAGTATTATTATACAGTGCGACATGTTTATTATCGGTGTAGGGGACCAAATGGGAGACTGAAATGACAGACATGGGGACATTTCAGACATACAGTCAAAGGCTTTTCCCACAATGCAATATGGTTTTCTGCCCTGGAGATAATTGAGAAGTAATTCAGTTATCTTGAGGACAAAGACAAATCACCATCTTAAATATAAAACCAGAAAATACATAAAAATACATAATTTTAAAATAACCGAACGTTTCTCATTCACATCACATATCCCCAGATAGCCTGGATCTGAGTGCATATTATTGGCGAATAGCGCTCAGATCCCACACACATAGTTCAACCGCCATGGAGTCAAAGTTCTTACAGTCTTTCGGTATGCGATTGACTCCATGGGAGGGCTATCTGGGTTAAGTCCTTTCGTGTGGTGTAAAACTCCCGAACGGCCGGTGTTCGTACGCTTTCGTTGAGGCAGCCAGGAGACCCGTTGTTTCAGCGGTGTTCGGCAGAAAAAGTGTCAGTTTTTAGTATAATGAAATCAGAGCCGAACTCCGCTGGGTTTTTGTGCGTTTTAAAATGGCCGCTGCCTCGTGGTCGACATACGAACGACTGCCACCCTGAATTCAGTTTAATTGAGAAGTGTCCGCGGTTAACCACAGTATTATACAGAGCGACATGTTTATTATCAGCGTATATCTACTCTGTATTATTATACAGAGCAACATGTTTATCAGCGTATATATTCTCCTTATTATCCTAATTGGGATCCTAATTGGGATCAATAGGTTAACCAGCAGCACATTTCTATCCTGAGTGGCCATCCGTTCGGTAGCTTTGTTCGGTGAAAAATAGTCATTCGTATGGCTGGGCTATAGGAAACAGCCATTTACACGAAGGTGCAGGAAATAGACGAATCCACCACAATAGTCAGACGGATGGTTCTGTCACAGATACTCAGTATTATTATACAGAGCGACATGTTTATTATCAGTGTATAGATATTATACAGAGTGACATGTTTATTATCAGTGTTAAGACACCTCAGGTGTCTTTAAGAGAAACTGCCGTTTAGTTCACCTTCCCCTTTCGCAATATCAATAATCCGTTCACATCAATTGTATACACGAACCATAACCAGGGGAAGCGGTAATCTCCCGACCGGGATCCGTGAGAAGGCTCCAAACTCCCGAACGGAAATCCACGAACCGCTGCTAACCACCGAACAATGATATCCACCGAGCGACTCTCGGTTCCATAAATTAGTCTCTAAGCGCAATGAGAATCCCCTCAATAACGAGACAGAAGCTCTGCATTGAGGATCAAACAGGATCTGGATTTACTGTGGGCTACCTGCCTGTATTTATGCAGGTCTCCCATTTGGTGGACACTCCCCTAGGGGACCAAATGGGAGACTGAAATTACAGATGGACATGAGGACATAACAGACATACAGTCACAAGCTTTTCCCACAATGACATAAAGTCTTTTATGTGCTGTAAAACTCCCGAACGGCCATGTTCGTACGTTTTCGTGGAGGCAGCCAGGCGTCCCGTTGTTTCAGCTGTGTTTTCGTCAGAAAAAGTGTCCGTTTTTAGTTCCATGAAAATAGAGCCGAACACCGCTGGGCTTTCGTGTGTTTTAAAATGGCCGCTGCCTGGTGGTCGACATACGAACG